AGACATTCTATGATTCTATGATTTACAAGAAATTAACTAAACATTTGGTGAAAAATCCGTGTGTAGAGTTGCATGTGCCTTTAGGGCAGTTTTAACAAAATAGGCAATCAGCTTGGGGCTATGTTAAGAAAGACAGAAGGAACAAAAAAAAGTTGCTTTGGCATAGTGACTTACTTTATCATCACAGATCTTGCCTCCAACCTCTCTGAAACCCAGCCCTCAGCCACATCCTCCTGCAGGAGACACAGGTTAGAGCATATGGCTGGTGATGAGTAGTGCTCACCCCCATCCCTGGGGAGCCACAGCTCCAAACTGACTCAGAGGGCAAGCGATGACTGCTCAGGGTACGAGTGTCTCACGCTGCACGCCGGAGGGAAGGCTCCCCGGCTGCGACAGAAGATGGCAGCCCAACCGATAAGAGAAAATAGAGACATGTACACAAAGCAATATTTTAAGGGAAGCTATGAAGACACCAAGTCTACAGCTAGAGGCAAAATCAAATAGTAAACAAGTATTGCTTAGGTTTAGGGCTGCTGTGCTTTGGGATGTGCAGCTGCAATCCTCCTTTTTCAGTTTGATCACTTTGTGTTTCCTGCCCATGTGACTTTTTCCCCATGGGCTGCATTAGTTTCACTGAAGACAGCTTTTTCCTGGCAGAGTACTCTATTGTGAAGTCTTTGGTGGCTTCTACAGTTTAAGCGCTGTGGATTAGAGACTGTCACCAACGCCTCCAGCAGACAGATGGGATGTCAGAGCACAGTATTACTACACGCATTTACAATTGAATTCCCCCCCACCCTCCTTTTTTCATACCAAGGCGCTAATCTCCTCTTCAAGTACAAGCCACTATGTTGTGGATTTGAAGTGCTTATTCCTGATCTAAAAGGCAGTCCACATTGAAGGTTGCTGGAGCCAGATTCCAGATTAATTATCAAAAAAGAATATGTCCTTCCATTCCATTAACAGTTATCCACAGACAGAATTAGGTATCCAGCTGAAAAACCACCTCACTGGAAGAAGAGGTTCTGCAGCAAACTGAGCAGCTCATTTGTTTGACTTCTGACACAGATTTACCACAGCAGGAGTTGTTTCACTAAATAACTCAATACCTTAAAAACATAGGAAGGCTCAGGTCTGCAAGTATTTACTTAACTTGTCCAAGTTTCCTAATAGAAATAAAAGACTGTCTATATAGTTCATATAAACTGCCATATACAGTCATATGAAAGAACTGACAGCTGTCAAGCATGTGCACTTGCAGGATCAGGTTCAGAGCATATAATCCTGGCAGTCGGAAGGCACTTCTGAACGTCATCTAGACCAAAGTCCTGCTCAAAGCAGAACAAATTAACACCAAGTGGATAAGGACCACATCCAGTTGAGGTTTTAGTGTCTTCAAGGATGCTGATTCAATAACCCTCCTCAGCTCCTGTTCCAAATTCTAACTACTTGTATGGTGACAATTTTTTCCTAATGTCTAGTCCAAATTTTCTATATACCAGCATTCCTCTGTTGCCTCTTTCCTATCCCTGTACCCTCTGAGATAGGTCTGGCTCCATCTTCTGTATATCCTCCCATTAGATAGTTCAAGACAGCAGAAAGGTCTCTCTTAGCTTTTTCTTCTTAAAGCTAAACAAATCCAGATCTCTTTCTCTTCCTACCCCTTGTGCTCCAGCCCTCTGATCTTGGTGGCATCTGCTGGACTCACTCCAATGTGTCAATGTCTTTCTTCTATTGAGTTGTCCAAAACAGGACACAGAACTCCAGATGCAGTTTTATAAGGGAAGACTGACTTCCTCAACCTGATGGCATCATTCTACTGATGCAGCCCCAGATGCAGTTGGCTGCCTTTGCCACAGGGGCACATTTCTGGCTCCTGGTTAACCTGCTTTTGAACAGGAGGCCCATGACCTCTTCTGCAAAAGATTTTTTCAGCCACTACTATTGCATAAGGTTATTCCAACCCAGATAAATACCCAGTCACACTTGCCCATGTTAAACTCCATGAGGTTTAATTCAGCTCATTTCTCTTGTCTGTCAAGGAAGCTCTGAACAGCAGCTATGTCCTCCAGCATGTCATAACCTACCTGATAATATACACTGCTCTTGACAGAAACAACTATTCTGAAAAATCAGGCTCCTTACCGTTGTAAGCAATAGATTTTACAGAATGTTTTGCTTGATTCCCTTTGCCCTGAACATGCTACATGCACACACTAGCAGCTTTCTGAATGCCTCATGAATACAGAAGTGTTGCCTCTATATTCTCCTGTGGGTTTGAGCTCTTTCTGGCATCACCCGGGATGCAACAGGCCCCCATCCGACTGGTTTGGTCAGTGCAAGAGGGGAACATCACGAATTACCTCAGCAACAGAAGAGAACTTAGATGCATTTGAACTAAAAAACCCACCATGCATGGAGACAGTGCAGAAAGACACAGACTGATATTGAACTGAGACAAGAGGAACTGATACAATCCCATTCAACAAATGGCAACAAGGTTCAGATCAGGAACGTTTAACAACTTTATATTAATAAGAAATTCTGGGACAAAGCATCATAGTGAAAATCCTTTCCAAAACTTTGTTCCATTACAGATCAATATTTTTGTCCAACACTGGATGAAAATAACTTTTCTTGAAGTAACAGTTTCTCATCATATGATAATTCTTCTTTGTTTTGTTTTTTAAACCAGCACTAGACTAGTAAGAATAATGTAATTCACTGTCAAGAAACATCAACCATGATTTCTCAGGAGAATTAAAAAGGAAACAAAAGTCTTGTCACAGAAGAATTCAAAAAGATAAATCTTATGGCACACTTCAAAGGCTGGCATCAAAGAATTTTTATGTAGACTCTCTTTTTACAGTAAATAATTACATGTAATATGCGTGACAAAAATATGACAATTTCAGTGTTTAGTATTTAATATCCAATCTAAACATAAGTATTCAAATGGAATTATTTTTACACCATTTCAGTAGTCACTTAGCTCAGTAGTTGGTTGCAATAATCCTTCCTGTTTTCAGGAGCTGGATGGAGCTATAAGCATAAAAACTCCCATTAAAGTTAATGCATGACAAAGCTCCACTGCAACCCTCTGAAAAGCAAAGACTTGCATTAAAAGAAAAGCAGACACTGAGGTACATTGAAATGTATTTTGTCCTACAGTAGAGTTTGATACTCTACTGGTCAGAAACATGATGGTAACTTCAAAAGGCACTCTGAATTAAACTACAGTAACTCCGGTCCACAAGCATTTTAGAATCTTGGTATTGTATAGTAGAAAAAAAACACCCTATATTTATTCAATATAAATTGCTTTAATCTCTGTCCTAGCCCCAGAGCTGTCAAATTATATTGCACTTTTAAAATATTCCATGTAGGTTGTGATAAAAATCTTAATATTTACATGTAATGTTCGTTGAAGAACAATGTGTTACTTACTTTGCAAAATATTAAAGAGCCAAGTTTTAACACATATTCTTGTATTATTAATATTACCAGAGGCTACATCAATTATATTTTTATAAGCTCCTATTCTAGAAAGTTTTTTGGTCCTTCAAAAAATTGTTATGCTGCAATTTATGTTCACAACTGGTATTGATGCTTGCCTGAAATTGCAGTAGTTAGAATATTTAATAAATACTTAATTTCTAAAGAAGTAATAGCTTTGGAGCTTTGTAAACAAACTGCTGTGGAAAGTCTATAGCAAGACTCAATTTGGCATGTTATGACTTTAACTGGCAATACATTACAGTTATACAACCTCTGCCAGGGTAGAAAAATGTTTGGTAGACACATCTTATAAATCAGTCTGGAAAAAAGACCCCAGAAATACTGATGATTCCGTAGGTTGTATGAATAAATAAAAATGATCAAAAAGAGTTACATGATCCACTGAAACCAAAATTGGCATTGATACAATCCGTAGGGGGAAAAAAAAGAAAAGCAAATGGTTTCTTTTTAAAATACAACCTAGAGGAAATTAAGAAGCCATAAAAGAATATATGATAACTAAGATGTACAGGACAAGAAGGTTGGCAGAATAAAATAAGCATTATAAATTTATAGAAATACTGATCTAGACAAAACTGATATCTTAGCTGCATCTCACCAGGAGACAATCATCATTCATTTTTCAATCCAAGTTTGAAGAAACAATCCAAATCTGTGTTTGGTAAAGCAAATCCAGTGCAAAGCACTAGCTCTGATGAAATTCCTGTTAAAACGTGAGTGGTAACATAAAGGAAACAGAACAACAGATGTACAGTTATGCCACTTACATATAAATATATGCATGTACTAGAAATTCAAATTATGTCAGGAGGTCTCATAGGCTGCGTTGGATATATTTTACACAGTACAGTTGTAGTTTACACTTTCAATTTCATGACATACCCAAAGTGCTCTACGTACACATCCCTGTGCTCTTCTATTGTTTTTTGTTCTACGTAGAATACCTGTCTTTTGGCTTTCAGCACTAAAAAACAGTCGCTTGAGAGAGCAAGGAAAAGGTACTTGCAGGCTTTTGTGGGAAGTACAGGATTTGCTCTTTAAGACTGTTGTTGACTGATGAAGTTAAATGTTTCTGTTCAAAACCAAGAACGATGTTGGTAAGTTTACTGTTAGTAGAGACTAAGAGCTGTCACAATATCTAATCTAAATGCTTGGTCTGTGTAGTCAGTGGAGCCTTCAAAGGGCAATTGAAAACCCTTCAGTTCAGAGGCCTACCCCTTCTCACTGCCCATACAGAGAGATGTTCCAAAATTTGATAATGGAAATTCCTCCAAAGTAGTGAATTTCAGGACTATCCAGTGCTACATCAAATTAAACTTCTGTCCCATTCACTAATAAACTGTACACCTTGCAAGCAAAGGTCAAATGTTGCTTGAGAGGAAAAAAGAAGAAAAAAAAAATATTATCAAGAATTACTATAGCTCATTAATACCTACACAATGTGATTTGTCCATAAGTTAAACAGTTAAGCTGCAACTGTACTATACTTTATCATACACATTAAACTTAATAGTAACTGAGTTAACAGCCACATTTGCCTTTTTCTTGCTCCTCATTCAGTTGTTCTGTAGAGCTGTGCCCATTGGAGCGCACGACCCCTTCTGGGATCCAGGATTTATCCACACACCGTTCCATGCGCTTCATAATGAGGTCAAGCAGAGTTTCAATGGCTTTGCTTACATTATTCCCATTAGCTGCACTGGTTTCAAAATACGGTATCCTGCAGAAGACAAAAACCACAAACTCACATCACATAGTTTATGTTCGCAGGAGAAAAAAACAAGACATGATTACTGCCACGTACTTAGAAAACACATAAATGTTGTTACTGCTACTCCACAGCAGAAAGACACCAAGTGGCCAGTGGTCTGAAATGCAAAAGAAATTCCTGAACTGTCTGACTCTGTAGGTAGGGCAGGAAGATAAGCTTTAGTTTACATCATGGAGTCCACAACCTATACAAGCACAGCTCAGTATGAGTTACCAAAGTTCTGCTCCTGAGGTCTGTGTTTTTCACCTCTGTTCCCCACAAGAGATTCAATCACTTTCTATGGCTCTCTCCTTGCTGATTGCCAGCTACACTAGCTAAGGAGTCATTGCAAGAGAGGGAACGCAGAATTATGTACGTTCCCCTGCAGGCAAGGCAGTAAAAAAGTGGTACTCTAATGTGGTATTCATACCACTACAAAAGGTGACTGTTTCTTCTGTTGACGCATCAAGTATAAAATCTCTTACATTAATAAAAAAACCCCAAACCCAAAATCTGCTCAGAACAACTATGTCTTCTTCAACAAAAGTTTCTGAGCTCCTCAGTATTGAAAAGACATTGCTAGTTCTCATTATTGTTGTAGATTGGGATGTCAGTGGCAGGTTTGTAGGCTCTGACCTTTCACACTCTGCTCCCCACAGGCTGGTGCTAGAGAAGCTACATTAGTGCCACTCCCCAAGTGACTGATATAATCACAATTTTAAGTATTTCTTCCTTGACTTGCAAGATTCAATGATTGTCAAAACCACTATCTCACTGTCTCACTGTGAAGGTCTCCTACAACCATTTTCATAACACATCACTTACTAGTACAAGGCCTTTCCACAGAAAGGATATTCACTGCCTCACACTTCTATTACCTGAGACTGTTTGCTGTGGCAGAACTTACCTTGCTTCCCCTTGGGAGCAAGTGACTCCTAGCAGCTTTCCTGTCTCATCTCGACAGGGCAGAGAATTTTATAATTGCCTACAGACTGGATGTGATGCATAATTTTAATTTATGAACAGAGAGTTAAAGTCAAGCTGGCATTTTCAGCCACAAAGATAAACGTTTCACCAATTATTTCCAAAAGTCTCACATAAAGAGATCTCTTTCAAATCTTTTAAGAAATGGCCACATGCCATCTGCTGCTCTTTAGAAGTTTTTGCTCCTTTGCAAGCAGCTGGGTAAAGTACCGTATGCACTTCCCGTTGCCTGTGTGCCATGGACTTAAAAACAAGCATTTTAACAGAAGGAAAAAGTAAGAAGGTACTGTTGTGCAAAACTCATTTGTCTCTAATAGACAGATTGCTTCTGATTTGCCTTCACTGATTTTTCAAGGTCAAGAAAGGCTAAGTGACCAAGCGATAGGAAGTAGCATGGCACAACAGGACTAGACCCGCAGAAGAAGGCAGCCAGCTCTGAGGGCCTAGTGTTCACACTACACCTGTTCAGTGGGCTTTACTTTGGACCAGCTCCAGTCTGCTCCTCTGGACTGAATGCAGAGCACTGGTTGGAGTACATCATCTAGTTTAGTTTTCAAGTGAGAAGGAATCCGGTTCACATGCCAGAAAGCTGCTCCACTATTTGAATGAAACCAGAATAAATGGATCAGAAGATTTGCTTCTAAAGTGCACTTCTGATCCACACTGAAATGCAAATGCAATCCAGAGACGAGACCCGTGGAAGAGTGAAGGGGGTATACAAGTACTGTGGGATTAATTAGTATCTGACACGAAAAAGATTTCACAGAGCTCCTTTCGGGACACATGACCTGTGCCTGTAGGGAAGGGGAAGGGCAAGGCTACCCTGTCTTCCTGATGGTCTGACTCGCTTTTCAGACTCCCTGGGCGCCTGCGAGAGCGCAGAGGCCAGCAAGAAAACACATCTGACTCCTTGGAGGCCAAGTCACTAAGAAATCACCTAAGGTACAGCCTAACAAAATTGCTTGAACAGTTGAGGGAAGATTGAATATGGAGGGAGCAAAGAACTGAGGAACCACGGTCTGGACCAGAACTGCTCTTCTACAGGAACTCACCACTCCATAAGCAGACTCTGAACACTAGTGAATGGGTCCTAAAGCTTGCAAAGAAACTGAGGCCTCACATTTCCATGGCCATGGCAGAGACAGTGGCTACCCTACAAAAAACAATCCAGCTTGTAAATTAGGATATCATTTCTTGGTATTATTTTTGTTTTCCTTAAAATCTGATGTGACACTCACCACCTCACCAAATGCTCTTTTGGATTTCACTTTGTAAGAGATCTGGGTTTTCTGTGCCCCATAGAAAACCTCAGCACGGGTAAGAGCAAAGAATTAGACTCCCATTATTCCCCTGCCTCTCCAGCTAAATTCTATCTCTTCTCCAGAGTATTTGTGAAAATTTACTTTATTTACTGCCAAGGAAAGAAGCATATTAATCAACCTCCAGTGCAAGACTATTGCAATACCAAGGATGAATTTTTAGGCAATGCAGAAAACATTAATTTCTGATTGG